GCTTGGAAATTGCATCGTCTTGTATCTTTAATTTTATTCTTGCTTGCTTCCTCCAGCCAGGATCCAAGGTTTGATGCAAGTTCTCATTTATTACGTTGACTTATATCCTCACAGACCTGGGACTGATGTAGTTAATCAGGGACACCCTCCACAGATAGGTGGACATAACCAAGAAAAAGCCACCACTCACTCCTAAAACAGAAATTCAAATGAATCAAATGAAGCTTGAAGTAAATGACAGGGGGAAATGGCAATAAATACTTCTCTGGCAGAAGAATAAATAAAAACAACATCCTGGGAGACATGGAAGTTACTGAATGTAGAACTTTTGAAAAAGGAAGCCAAAGATGCCTTTATAGTTCATAGTTCTTCATGGACTTAAGTCGATGATAATACTAAGGAATGGAGCAATCCTTGCACAGAAACAAACCCAGGAAAGAAAAATGGGACAGAGCAGAATATTGCTGTAGAAGGCAATGGGCAGATTTTCACCCTTTTCTGCACACAGAAATTCTATTGAAAATAAATGGTCATACAATTAATAACTCTCCATACACCTGACACAGGGCACCAAATGCAGAAAGATGCTAGTTCAGGTCTCAAAAGTAATATGGCAATGTTAATCAAACCTATACTGCTGCTCATTTCAGAGCCAGCAGGTTGATTGTCCCATGCTGTTTATAAAATAAACAGGATTTCCTACCAGCACCCTATAAACTTATCTACATCCTTGTGATGGGTTGACCCTGTTGGCTGCCAGGTACCCACCAAGCTGCTCTATCACTGCCCTCCACAACTGGACAGTGGGAGGGAAAAGATAACAAAAGGCTTGTGGGAGATAAGGACAGGGAAATCACTCACCATGGGCCAACTAGACTTGACTTGGACATTATTTTAGTGCCAATAGGAAAACAAGAAATAAAACCTTAAAACACCTTCCCTCCACACCTCCCTTCTTGCCAGGCTCAACCTCACTCCCGATTTCTCTACTTTCTCCTCATCTGAGCAATGCAGGCGGTTGTGGTCAGTTCACCTCACGTTTCCTCTGCTTCTTCTTCCACCTCACTGTCTTCCCTGCTCCAGCATGGGGGCCCAGCCACGTGAGACAGTCCTCCATGAACTTCTCCAGTGTGGGACCTTCCCACAGGTTGTAGTTTTTAATGAACTGGTCCAGAAATGGATCCTGTCCAGGGGGGTATTCCTTCAAGAATGGGAGACTCCAGTGTGGATCCCCCATAGGGTCACAAGTCCTACAAGAAAACCTGGTCCAATGTGGGCTCCTCTCTCCATGCATCCACAGGTCCTGCCAAGAGCTTGCTCCTGCACAGGCTCTCCCTGGGGTCACAGCCTCCTTCAGGCATCTGCCAGCTCCCGCATGGGGTTCCACAGGCTGCAGATGGATATCTGTTCCAGCACGGATCTCCATGGGCTGCAGGGGAACAGCCTGCTTCACCACAATCTTCACCACAGGCTGCAGGGGAACCCCTGCCCTGGCACCAGGAGCACCTCCTCCTCCTGCTTCTTCCTGACCTTGGTGTTGGCAGAGATATTTCACATATTCTCACTCCTCAATTCCAGCTGCTGTTGCACAGCAATTTCCCCCCCTTCTTATATATGTTATCCCAGAGGTGCTACCACTGTCGCAGTTTGGTTCAGCCTTGGCCAGCAGCAGGTCTGACCTGGAGCTGGCTGGCATTGGCTCTGTTGGACATGGGAGAAGCTTCTAGCAGCTTCTTACAGGAGCCACCCCTGTAGTCCTCATGCTACCACAACCATGCCTCACAAACACAAATACACACCTGCACATAATACAACGTTAAAATTGTCAAAATTGTATCATCATAAAAAGAGATGCTGTAGCAAAAAATTATCTGTAGACAGGGTCATAATTCTATGCAAGTATGTATAACTGTTTTTATTTGATATGTATATATGGTCTTGTATTCTAGTGCACTAATCATTAAGAAACAACTTAAAACTAATTTCTGAAATTATCCAATTAGAACATGCACCACCAGCCATACTTGTAAAGAAAGCTCCAAATCTTACTTGCTTTGTGTATCACTTAGTCTGACTTTCACTAATGTTAAGAGAAGCATTCTGTAGTTTGGATCACCAGTGAACTAATTTCAGGTTGCTGCTATTTGTTGTATAACATGATTCCTTCCTGTATTCATCTAAAAGCAATGTATTTTGAGGAAAGAAATCCATGTCTAGTCTATGCCCAGGTGTGATAACACCATATTTCACCCATGACATTGCACAGGTTCAGCGTATGTGAGTTTACTTTTTCAGAGCTAATGACTGTTCAGAGTTCCACTATGCACCAGTATGGCAGAAAAAATTTAGCAAACAAAACTGAAATGGATAAAAATCAACATTCTAGTCTATAATTACTGCCAGAGAATCAATAAATTGAACTGAGCGGATGATAGTATTGACAGCAAGCTCTCTAAAGTGATGCATTTATGTTTGTTCCTAGTGAATATAAGAAGAAAATATGTATAAATATATAGGTAAACATGCCATATTTGTTCAGACTAAAAAGTGTAGCCACTGGACTTTAAAGTCAGAAATATATATGTTGAACTCTTTAAAGGTCACAACAGGAGCACAGTAACATCCACCGGAGCTTTTGTTCCTATGCTCCTCCTTCCCCTTCAAGTACCTCAGTGATTATATTTTCTATTGCAACCGTTTCCAGAGTCACATAAAACTGCTAAAAGCAAAAGAGAAGGAAGAGAACAAGTAATTAAACTTCTCAGTTCTTTCCAACAAATCCATTTGGCTGAGTTAGATGTTAGATAGATGAAGCCTGATGAAGACTTGCACTGAAAGTACAGCAGTGGCTGCTTTCGCTCAGAGACCTTCCTCTCAATTTGTCAACGAGGTTCACCACTGACAGCAGCAGTACTAGTGGATGGCTTTTTCACTATAATCTCTAACTCTCCTACAGAAATATGTTCTAGCAGATTACATTTTCTCTTTCCTGACTATGACCTGACCGCAAATTAGGTAAGTCCTCGCTGCATACTGGTTAGATTAGTACCATACAATTTACCTGAAATCTTAAAAATAGTACCCCTGAACTAATATAAATTATTTAGAACATAACAAGTACCTTTCACTGGGAAGCAGGTGTTACAACCAGCATAGTCAGTTACTTCAGTAGGTAATTACAGATTTTGTCATATTTAACTACAACTGCCTATTTTCCAAGGATTTAAAATGGCATGTGTCAAAAAAGTCAAGTCATTATTCATTGTCTTGCAAGTTCTGTTCATCAGCAGCAGAAGTGCTGCACAGCTCAGCCAGAAGGTGAAGTTTCATCTATATTTAAGGGAATGTTTCTAGTTTTCCCTGCAACAAGAAGTGAGGCTGAATAGCCTAAAACAAGTGAGGCTTTCAATAAAAAAACCCAAAAAAAACACCCCACCAAGATTCATATTTGTACAGAAACTTTCAGTGCATCTGCTTAAAATACTAAATTAAAAACTAAAACAAAACATAATTTTAGTTGCATGTAGCTACATGAGTTTATTTTGAACTCTGGCCAGGTTCGTAATACCTAATGTACCAAGTTCAGTATAAGAATAGCTACACAAGATAGTACAGTGCTGAATAGTTATTTTGGCATTAGAGCTTTTTGCTTGTGGGTAGGGTTGAGGAAGAGGTCACACAGTTGTCAGTGGCTCTGCTTCAGGATCATGCAACATCATTTAGGAGCTGTGCCAGAACTAGCTCAGGCACAGCTCGGGTGGCAGCGCTCACCACCCTACACGGCCTGACACCTCAGTGTACTCTACTTCCTGCAGGGCTCCTAGTAAAAATCCCCAAGTACTGCAACTGCCTGAGAGTCTGAGCACCTACTTCCCTTATGCTCCATAACTTATGTTCTAACCAACTCCATGTATGCTACACTGCTCTTATCCACCAACTCCCAGCACACATTTTTTTCCATCCATTCCCATACACAGGCTCGCAAATCTGATCTATTGTTGCCTGCAGGCAACAGGGTCCTACATATGGGTTGGGACAGTCCCAAGCACAATTACAGGCTGGGCAGAAAATGGATTGAGAGCAGTCCCAAAGAAAAAGACTTTGGGGTGTTGGTTGATGAAAAGCTCAACATGAGCTTCTATTGTGTGCTTGCAGTCCAGAAAGCCAAATATGTCCTGGGCTGCATCGAAAGAAGCACAACTGGGAGGTCGAGGGAGGTGATTCTCCCCATCTATTCTGCTCTTGTGAGACCCCATGTCAAGTACTGTGTCCAGTTCTGGAGCCCCCAACACAGGAAGGACTTGGAGCTGTTGGATCACATTCGAATGAGGGCCACAGAGATGATCGGGGATATGGAGCACCTCTCCTATGAAGACAGGCTGAGAGATTCATGGTTGCTCAGCCTAGAGAAGTGAAGGCCCTAGGGAGAGCTCACAGCAGCCCAGCCTTCCAGTACCTGAAGGGGCCTGGAGGGAAGCTGGGGAGGGACTTTTTACAAGGGGATGTAGTGATAGGACAAGGGGTAATTGCTTTAAACTAGAAGAGGGGAAATTTAGGTTAGACATTAGGAAGAAATTATTTAGCGTGAGGATGGTGAAATATTGAAACAGGTTGTCGAGGCAAGTTGTAGATGCCCCTTGCCTGGAAGCGTTCAAGGGCAGATTGGATGGGGCTTTGAGCAATCTGGTGTAGTGGGAGGTGTCCCTGCCCATGCAGGGGGATTGGAACTAGATGATTTTGAAGGTCCCTTCCAACTCAAAGCATTCTATGGTTTTATGACATGCTCTTCTGTAATGGAAGAAGCACTGGCAACAAGATGCTCCTACACTACTTTATGCTGTGAGCATTTTTTAACTATTCCACAGGCAACTGTGTCTCCCTCTTAACAATGTTAAGAGTATTAGAAAACAGTGTCAAGTGTCACTATTTGTACTGCATTAACAGCCTAGATAATTATTTTAATTTTGAAGTAACAGAACAGCAGATGCTGGAATACTTGCCTCCGTTTTTCCCTACTGTGCGGAAACACCTCCAGAAGGTCCGAAGAAAAGACGCCCTGTTATGAGGAGTGGCTTGAACAAAGCTGAACTCACGGAACAAGATGTGTGTTCCCTGCCGCACGCTGTTAAAGCTGTGGAGATAAAGTCAAAACAAGAGAATGTTAGAAAGCTGAACTGATGTGAATGTTCTGGGGCCAGCTGGAACACTAGCAAGAAAACTACTGGAAGTTACATTTGTGGAAACAAACCTCCAAAGCTTATACCCATCTGTTCTCTAGAGAGAAGACTATTTGCAAAAACCACACATTGGAACTTAATTATAGGAATTTGAAGTTGGTGAAAGTAAAACTCATTCTAAAGAATCCTAGCAAGGGGTGTCCAAGAGCCACTTATCTGAAACCAATCCACTGGAAAATGGCTGCCCAAGAGTAAATGTTGTTTATCTGACCAGAAGATGCCCCTTCTTTTAATGCCATTTGAACTTCACTGCTATTCTCATCACAGTTTTCTGTGAAGTCACAAAAACCCCAAAAAACTCTTTAATAGAAGACTCAAGGTCTCATTTCTAGGTTACTGAAAATTGAATGTATTGGATGTACAACATCTACTTCAGTTGCCATGAAAAGCAGATTGACATTTCACTAAACAACACTTGGCACAAGTTTACTTTGAAAAGAGTAGTTGGTCATTATGATGGATAGTAAATTTGATATTCACAGATTTGCATTTTAGTACACATTTATCGTATTTGAGTTGTAAGCACTCTGGGCTAACTTATTGTAGCAAACATTTGTCAAAAAGGTTTCTCTGAAGTCTAAGAAGTTCTCCTTTGGGCATGGTAAAGCTCAACATGCAAGAACAATAGAAATGCAAATACAAACATTATAGACCAAAAGCTATAATGACAGGGTTGTCTCAAAGACAGATTTTGTGTATTTCACTCTTCATTGTGCAAGTGGGACAAAGCTTTCAGATGCTCCAGAGAGATCATTAAAAACCATTCACTTGGGATGGCAGCTTAACTCGCCTTCACAGGAGACAATTAATGAAAAGATGCAAGCTTACAGCATAACCTCTCCATAGGTAGCATCTCCATAACAGACAAAATCCAGTGGCCAGTGTGAACACATTCAGTTTGCAATTTTAAATCACCTCTTTAAATATAAATAATTTAAATAACTTTATCCTTCATAGAAAAAGGTCTCACATTTGAAAGATAATTATACCAGACAAAATTAAAAAGTCATGTAATAACTGTGGGTGTATGTAGTTAAGAAGACAATTCAACTTTTTCTTAAAATAATCACAATTTCTGTTTTTTAATGTCCTGGTTTTCAAAGCCACGCAAGTAAATAGAATTTTTTTGTCATGTGTTGACTGCTAGATGCAGAACACTGTTTCTAGCCCTCCTATCCAGAACGAAATGCAAGTCAAATAAGATAATCATAAGGTGATTGTACTTAAGAAATGCTTGTGACTCTTGAATCAAGGAATTCAAAATACTCTTTCTGTAAACGTCATGGACAAATATGTTATTTTGTATTTATGAAACCACTATACCAGTGCTGTACAAACCAAAGAAAAGAACAGCCATTGTCCCAAGAGATTAAAGTAAATAAATAAATCATGTGCCTGATCAAAATATACCAAAATTACAGGAAAGGGCTTCCATGACTATCATTGTAAGTAAAGAGTATTCATTACTAAGTGCTGTAGCTCAGTGCCTTAAAAGTGAATGAGTTCAGAGCAAGGGAAAGCAACTTGCATGAAGCCCCACAAGATGCCTGTGACAAAGCTGGAAATGGGATTTCAGATCTTCTCATCCCAAACCACAGTGTGTAAGACTTTTTTATTTCCTATTTGCAATATTTTGCTGATTATTTGTCAGGCTGATGGAGAAAAGAAGGATATGAAGGGAAAAAGAAACTTTGTGTAATAGGAGAAAGCAGCTTTCAGAAATATGACACATAAGGGAAAAGAAAGAGAAGACCCAATGATCCAACTAAATGCACCAAATTATGTTGCTCAGAATAACTACAGCCCATGCAACATCTGGAAGCAGATCCTGGCACTACAATAATGGAAAGGTTCAGACATGAAGCTAATATACTATTAATTCACAGCAGACAGCCCTGCTATATTATTCCTTAGTTCTAATAAGCAAAAACTCAAGTTGCTTCCATTTTCGTCATGAGATGGCTCTAAACCTAGCAGGCAGAAGGGTATGATATCATTTGTTGTTGCTTACTCAGGTAAAAGAGTGGGTGGATATGTTGGAACATCAGCACACCTGGATGTCAAGTGCCAAGTGCCGCCAGCTAGCTAAGGTACAATATTTCATTCATTTCTCATTTAGTGCAATAAGATTTTGTTTAACTATACAATGGAAGGATTTTGCCCAAAAGCTTAAATCTGCAAGCATGGGAGTCAGAATTTTTATTCCAGTTAAGATGCTGCATTTCAGAGACCCTACAATAAATTCCTTTTTAGAAGCTGTAAAAGCTCAGCTCAAAGAAGCCAGCCCATGACAGACCCAACCAGCAAGCAGCCCAGTGACAAATCAACAGAGGATTCTTGGGTAGGGTCAAGATCTCTACCAGAGACAGAAATGCTATGAACCAATTATATGTTTTGAAATTCCTTTATCATGGGTAGATGGGCAGTACAAAAATAACTTGGCCACCTTTTCCTTAACAATTACCCAGAGATGAAGTTACCATTAATGTGGCAAGTAGTAACAGCTTAAAGGTAAACTTTCTGGATGAAAAAGAAATTGTGATGACCCAAAGCTGTTTGCAAATATTCCAATAGCTTGTGGGGAGCATGACCAACACCCTACCTATGATTTTTACACACATGTGAACAGACACCTTTTCCAGGTTCTTTCGAACATAAAAATAAAACAAACTGCAGACTAAGACTTAGCTCAAATGTTATCAAGCTTAGCAGCTGCTGAGATTCTTCCCTTAGGATTGCTCGGTCTTTACTCTATCTGCCCTCCTCTCTCTGAACAACTCATAGCCTTAGCAAAGTCAAGTGGTCAGAGCTTATCAGCACACTTGCAGGAGACTTAGAAACAAACTAGCCTATCTCAACAAGGTGAGATGGTTTGACAGGCTTATGAAGAAAATACGAATTGGAATAGAAAAAGAAACTTGATGTAATAGGAGAAGGCAGCTATCAGAAAGTTGACAAACATAAGGGGTATGTTTAGGAAAAGAAATAAGATTAAGCTCCTCAGTCATTTAAAAGTGGGTTTGTGAACCTAGAAGCAGGCAAAATAATTTTTCACTTCTCTAATCAACTGCTCCTTTTACTCTTTTAGGCATTTAGTGCAGCCATCTGCAAGAGATTCCTTCAAGAAGAAAGCTTTCAGCAATTCTGCAAGTCTTAAGTCCTCCTATTGCAAACTGAATGGCTCCTCTGGCCTTCTGCATTAGCAGGAAACAGAGTGGGCAAATTAGAATATTAACAAAACTTACTCATTATGTAATTTTATTTGTCTTTCTGAAATTGAGACTGGAAATTGAACTGAATGTTCGTTAGCTAACAACAGTTCACTCCTAACACTCATATTTTACACAAGAACTGTTGTGCAATGGGATACTCCACTAACACAACAGCTGCTCCCATTCACTTGTGAGAATATTGTGAAAAAGAGAGAGAAGCAAACCAAGGTTCTTGCTCCATGGGAAGATCTAAAGAAACTTTTGCAGTAGGGACTTCAAGATGCTTACTTTTTCATTTGTTTCCTTTACATGCCTCAGAGCAGTCAAACCACACAACGGTCTCTTCCAGTGTCACTGGTGAGAAAGCTGCATCCCATGCTGTGGGATGGCATGTGCACAGGAGAGGAGGAAAAAAAGTTCTGGGACGAGATTCTGATACAACAGCCCCAGCTCTCAGAAATGGCTGTGCTGGGAACTCTAGCACTCAGGTGCTTCATCTCTGAACAGAGCTGCTTTCAGTGAGGCCTTGTCTTTTGTGTAATTACATTTTGGTAACTTGCCAGAGTTCAGAAACTTTCAAGCACTCTTTTCAAATGTTTGGACTTCTGAATAGATTGTAAAAGCCCCAGGATGCTATGGTAACATCCCAATTGAAACCCACTGCAGTGTTTTGCCTCTGCCTGCTG